GGCTAAAATTATCTAATTATCTATTTCAGTTAATGTTGCAGATTGCATTGTTTCTAATCTTCTAATTGGATCTGGCTTATTATTTTTTGCAGACTGTTAGAGCAATTTTATAAAAAGTAAGCTTGAACTTTCGATTATGTCAAAAAGAGTTTCCGAGATCCTGGAGCTGCCAAAGGATCTACAAAGCAAAAACATGTTTCGATGTCCTTCAAACAAAAAGTGGAAGTGCTGCAAAAAAAAAAAAAAAAAAAGGATAAAGGCATGAAGAAAGTGACAGGGAGGTGATTTATTTCTCTAACCATTCCGAAATCATTATTATCTAATATAATTATCTGTTTATTAATTTCACGCTGCTCTGCTGGGGAAGGGGAGGCGCGATGAACTGGAAGTTGATCTGTCAGCATTATCCTCATCTTCAGGGCAAAAGTTTTTATTTTATTCGGCTTATAATTCCTTACTAAATGTAGTGTTTTATCTCGATGTACTTCAATATGATTTAAATCAATTTCCTCATCATTATAAATATTACGAATACACATCAAATAGTTTCCTGGTTGCAATTTTCTAATTTTCACTATGCGTAATGTATGCTTTATGCATGCGTGTGTTGAAAGAAATGTTTAATAAAGTAAACAAATAAATATTAAGCTTTTTTTTTTTGTAAATTTTGATACCCTTTAGATCATAATTGCTCTTTATTTCATAAATTACGGTTTCATATTTTTAATTGTATAATTTCTGCATGCCATCTCACTAGATTTAAACTGATGATCTATAATCTGGAAAAACCCCTAATCCGGAATCACCAAAGTCCCAACGAGTCCGGATTATGGACTTTGTACTGTATAATGTAAATAGTGTACTAAGACCATGATCCTATTTGTATTTGAATTTGTAAATTGACGCATTTATTTATTGACTTAGTGTTTGATTTGTTATTTATTGAAAATACTGTTTTAGTACTGTACTGATTTTTCTTAAGTAAGAGCTATATGGCTTCCTATACAGGGAAGTAAATTATGGCTTCATTTACAGTGATTGTACTGCCAGAGGCGTGCAGTCCTTGGGAAGGTTACAATGTTACGAATTTCATACATATAGGTAAATAATTTTTATGAAATTATATGTGAAATTGTATTATTTTTATGTATAATGTAATACAAAAATCTAGAGAGGCAATGCCTTGCAGGAAAAGTAAAAATACAGGGGCAAGTCTATTTAACATTGAGTAAATGGCTATCTCGCTAAATTGCTGAGAAATCGCTGAGTTTGCAATGGTTTGCCGGTTAAAAATTGCTGAGAAATCGCTGAGTTTGCAATGGTTTGCCGGTTAATGTTTCTCGCCAAAGGTTGCCAAACTTGATGCTATTTTGGTCCGGTCCTTGTATAATTGCAATGGGTATTATAATTGAATAACTGTAATTAATCTATATATGCAACTGTAACCGTATCCGGCTCTTAGATGTAACTTTAACGATACATGCCTTTCAGTAATTTTGAGAAATAGAATTTACTATAAATTTCTTGGCCATGTGAAAATAATACAAGACCAGAGAGAGAGCATCTCATTTCAATAGTTGTTAACTGACAGCTGAATTTGGAGTACTGAGACACTCATGACAGCTTTGCTTTTATATGCACTTTGCATTGATTGTGTTTAATGTTGTTAGTAGTTTGAAGTGTAATTACTGATTCTACTCTGTGATAATATGAAGAGCTGTCAATTTTTAGTGGAAATTTGTGACTATTTTTGTGGAAAGTTCCAGAACTATGAAGTGCTTCTTTTGGTAAAATAAATTTCATCAAGTTATTATCAGTTCTGTGTGCATTTAATCTATTATGAACCCACATGTATGCAACAATATTTGACACTTTAAAATTTTTCATGAATAACAAGGTCAAAATGACAAATTAACCGGGACTACCTTCGAAATGGGATAATCCCAAGCCAGCCATCTTAGCTAATTTTAAATTATTAACGTATAATTTTCTAATTAATCACTTATTGCAAAAAATTTTACATAACATTTTATTGGAAACTTATTACTGAATTTTAATTTTTTTATCGTGGTGGTAAAGCAGCGGGCATACATAAAACTGTTGGTGGGTACAAAGATGCATGAGGCATAGAGTTAGCGAATTCTGACCTAAAATATATAATCATTGCTGAGAAATATTACACTTTTTTAAATATGCATAGAAAGCTCTTTTCTACCAAAAGGGGTTATTACAGACATGTTTCTTAATCTATATAGCACTTGAAATCATTTTAGAGAAGAATAATATAATTATCAGTACCGATGTTTCTTCGTGCTGTTACAACAGAGTTCGTACACATTTCTGCACATGAAAATTAAATACTTTTAAGGATGTTTAAGGACCATTAATGAAAAAATTAAGGACCTATGAGGAAACAGCAAATTAATAAATTCAATTAAAAGTATTATCTCTGCCTGAACTTCACTTTTGTAATACCATCCAAAAAAATAAAATAGATCCGTAATTAGGATGCATTATTATTAAATATCACTCAGTTAACATAATTATTAATAAGTTTGAGAATAAAATATATTTTATGCAATTTATCAAATAGCATTAAATATTATACACTTATAATAGTTCGGCATATTTGAAAGAAGATAAGTGACATTTATTTACGTTTTACTAATAGTTAGTTTCATGCTGATTTTTTTACGTATTATTTTGTCATATACTTGCTCAATCTAGAGGTTTAGTAAATAGCAGGTAGATTTTATGTCAAGTGGCATAGGTTAAAATGAGAAGTAAAATCATAATCAGAAATGATTTATAACAAAAGAATGGCTATTGTCGCTGCTGCTCCTTGCCTAGAGAGAGAGACCTGATGATCAGAATAAAACTGAAAGGCCTGATGTGATCATGGTTGGCAAGTTTTGAAAGCTAGTTGGGCTCTGTCTGATGCAGTTAGTGTCTTAGCTTCATGTAAAGTTCCAAGGGTTGTAACTAGCGCTGCCACCTCTTGACTGTCAAAATCTGAGAGAGGAAAAAAGTTTCCGGGAAAAGAAAAAAATGTTTCTTTGGCAGTCGCAACTGAAGAAAAATCGGCCTTCTGAATCTCATTTCAAAGTATTTCTTGAGCTGCAGGAGTAAGCACACTCTCGCAAATACTTGTATATTTTGTTCTACCACAAGCAATCATTTTGCCAAAGAAGAATCTAGAAATAGAGTGCTATACAATTTGTTTGTGCGATCCTGCTTATGGTGGTGCTTAATCCTCTATAACTATGATTGTGCTTAATCCTATGATACACTGAAGTAATTTCAACTTCTGATATATTGTCCTTTTCTTTTGAAGATTTCTTTACGAAAAAGTTCGAAACCGATTGCGAAGAATCCTCATTCAATATTAACGATTGGTGTTTCTTGCTTTAGTAATGTACAGTTATAACTCTGACACCCTCGTACTTAATATTAACCGTTTTCTGATATAATTTACATTCTCCGTTAAAGTTGTCTCTCTTCATAAGCCAATCAAATTAAGTTAACCACTTGTCTTGAAACGACATCGAATATTTTGTCTTTTTTTGTGGCACTTGTTCACTTGCAGAATTAGAATCATTTTTTTCACTAGACGTTACTATGAAAGCATTTAAATAATTCCAAAATACGCACTTTTTCGTGGATAGCTAGCTAATTGCAGACTAAATTAAAGAATGGATTGAAAATGAGAGGGTGAAGGGGGATGAGGGCGCATGGGCGCAACATGTCGGCATGAAACCACGACTTATCCTTCAGGCGCTTACTCACCACTCACCGTAGATCACTGCTGCAAAGAATATGTACAGTCAAAAGTCGCTAATCCGGACTCGTCGGGACTTCGGCGATTCCGGATTATTGATTTTTCCAGATTATAGACCATCAGTTTAAATCTCGTAAGATGGTATGCAGAAATTCTAAAATTAAAAATATGAAACCTTAATTTATGAAATAAAGAACAATTATAATCTAAAGGGTATCAAAATTTACAAAAAAAAAAAAAAAAAAAAGCTTATATTTATTTGTTTACTTTATTAAACATTTCTTTCAATGTAAGTTGTTTTAAGTTGCTTCGTTTTATGTGATAATACTTTCTCTTTAATACTATAAACAGACACAATTTCTCCAGACACAAAGTTCCGCTGTTCAAGTCCCGTTAATTGTTGTGCCGAGAATACCGACTAACTTGTCAATCGAAATGTTTTCGTTTTCACTAACCTCTCTGTCACATTCTTCATGTCTTTATCCATTTTTTGCAGCAATTCCACTTTTTGTTTGATGGACATCGAAACATACTTTCGTTTTGTACGATCCTTTAGGAGCTCCAGAATCAGTAATTCTATTTGACATAATCGAAAGTTCAAGTTTACTTTTATAAAATTGCTCTTACGGTCTGCAAAAAATAATAAGCCGGATCCAATTCGAAGATTAAGGAACAACGCAATCATCAACATTAACTGAAATAGATAATTTTAGATTATACCGTCCGTTATACATAAAACGCGCACGCGAAAACGTATTCTGCGCTTGCGCGCACGCATATGCGCAGTGGTAAAAGGTGTTGCTGAAACAAAGTTAAAGTTTGAAGAAATTAAACATTTAGCAGTAGTAGCAATAAAAGCTCCCTGAGATATCATGTTGTGCAGACATTGAAGACAATAAAAAGTTTTAAACTTAACCAATTTATTAACAATATAATAAAGAATAAAAAGACAGAAAAATAAATTTCAACAATATCAGAGTCTTAGGAAAAATATAATATAACCATCATTCATCAAATAATATTTTTACCTGGTCTCCAAAACACTGGCTTTCTATACAAACAAAATGTCCTAAACAGTAATTATGCGGCCTAAAAATGAAGCTGGCTACACATTCAATAAGTCCATAATCAATGGCCGAGAAAAACACCTGAAATTTAAATCAAGTTCTTGAAAACACTTAAAACCGGCCTAACGCCGTTTGCACGAGGAATCGCCACTCACGTGTTTTAATTGCCGCCTTCATTGAAGAACATGGATGCCGCCCACAGCAGTCACTCATATGGTAGCCTCTGGAACCAAGGAACTTTATTCTGGAACAATCATCTTATTATCTTTTCGAACCGAACCAAGGTCACCGGACTACATGCATCCTTCAAGGAAACCGCCACTCAAGTGCCGGGAAAGCAGGAACTAGAAGGGTTGGCCATATCCATATCCTGCCTATCTGATTGGTATTCGGCCCTAAAAAGGGCCTTTACCAATACATATTTATCATACCCTGATAAGGGCTCCTAATAAAAAGCATATCCATCTAAAGATGGTTTTCTTAGATTATGGCATAAGTGGGCGCCATCCTTTGGCGGTTGTGGGAAAAAATTTTTTGCAATGGCATAAAATGGCATTAAAAGTTGGAAATAACATGATTGGCTATGGCGTTTGAATGGAGACTTAAATTCGTAGAAGCAATTATATGTATGAAATGGCATATTTGGCATAGAATAGCATTGGCATAGGTGCGTTGCGGCGACTGTGCTTCCCTGATGGAAGTTCGTTGCTGAATGATGTGACTGGGCGGTCGTAGCGTTTTATAGAGGTAGTAGCATTCGTTGCGATTGGTCAACTTTTGCACTTGGAAAACGGTAATTAGTTCTCAACAGTAGAGTTCATAGTTCAAATGGTAAAATAAAAAATCTTGATTAAATACGAGTTAAAATTGAAATAAAATAAATAAATATATACAACATGTAAATCTACCAGTTTCCATCGTGAAAAATGTTTCGCGGTCTTTTGTGTTTTTGAATAAGAGTGTTATCATAGTTGTTGAGTTGCTGGATATTTTCATTAGGATGACTATTGCAGCGGGAGAAGAAGTTATGGCTATGTTTGAGAATTTCGCTGTCTAAAGGCTTGATATTTAGGTCTCTATGGATTGCCGAGTTGCGTACATACCATGGTGCGTCTATTAAGATTCTAAGTAATTTGTTTTGCATTCTTTGCAATGATTGACGATTATTTCTAGAAGTGGCTGCCCAGGCCGGTGCTGCGTAAAGAATTGGGCGGATAGCTTGTAAATAAATGATACGTTTTGTATTTAGATTTAATGTAGAATTCCTTCCTATTAATGCGTATATGGCCATGAATGCCTGATAGGCTTTGTTCCGAATATTGATGATATGGTTGCGGAAAGTTAGTCGATAATCGATGTAAACTCCTAGGTACTTGATTATATTAGTTCTTGGGATATTCTGTCCTTCAATTTGTATGTTTCCGATGTCTTTTTTAATTATTGTTCTTCTGAAGTAAATGAGTGCAGATTTGGAGGTATTAATTTTAATTTTCCATGCTCTAAAATATTGTGCTATTGTATTGATGCGGTCTTGGAGATTATTTCTAGCGTGAATAGGATTCATAGACTTGCTGAGGAGTGCAGTGTCGTCTGCATAGCTTGCAATAATTGTTTTGGTGCAAGGAGGGATATCATTGATATAAAGGCTGAAAAGAATTGGCGAGACGACCGAACCTTGAGCTACACCTGCTTTTGAAATTCTGGTGGAAGAAAGGATATTTTTAATTCGAACTTGAAAAGAACGATTTCGTAGGAAATTAGAAAGAAGAATTATAAGGCTGGGTCTAAAGTTGTAGTTGATGAGTTTGATCAGCAATCCATCAATCCAAACCTTGTCAAAAGCTTTTTCGATGTCGAGGAATATACCAGCTACGGTTTCATTTTTATTGAAACTTTCGCCGATATATTCCACGATGCGTGAGACTTGATGAGTAGTTGAATAGCCTGGTCTGAATCCGAATTGATTATTGTTGAGAATATTGTTGGAAAAAACATAGGTTTTGATTCTTTCAGCAAGGATTTTTTCAAAAATTTTTCCTATTGTAGGTAGCAGGGAGATTGGTCTATAGCTTGAAGGTTCAGCTGGGTTTTTCCCGGGTTTTTTGAGTACGAAGATGATGGCATGTTTCCATGCATCAGGGAAGTAATTATTCCTCAGGCAAGCGTTGAAGATATTAGTAATTAAAACTATTGTTTTGGAGGGAAGATTCTTCAAAGCTTTGTTTGAAATTTGGTCGTAACCAGTGGCTTTCTTGATATTTAGATGTTTAATGATGGATTGAACTTCTCTGGGGCTGGTAGGGGGGTTGAAGTTCCTAGAGTTTTCTTGGATAAAGCTATTTACATGATTTGAGATATTGCAATCGTTTGGACAAGGGTAGAGGTTGTTGGAAATTGATCTTCATAGTTATCTGCAAAGATTTCAGCAATTTCTTCTGGTTTATTGATGATAGAGTTATTAATTTTGATAGGTCCAATGCTATTGTTGGTATGTTTGAGCGCTTTGGCGATGCGCCAGACAGAGTGGTCGTCGTGTGAAAGGCTTTGCACAAAGTTTTTCCAGGCTTGGTCCGTATATTCACGGATGATTTTCTTAAGTTCTTTATGGCATTTGTTGAAGTTCCTTCTATCGTTAGGGTGTTGGGTCCGTTGCGCTATTTTTCCTGAGTCTGTTCTTATCCCTGATTTTTTGTCTGATATGGAGAGGAAGGGTGATTGTGTCTTCTTTTTTGTGCATTTTAGAATTATTAATAGCATTATGGATTTGATTGTTGAGGTGGTTGATCGCTTCGTTAATATCTGAGGTGTTGCTGAGGTTGGGAGCCGCATTCACATTTTTCTGCATTATATATTTAAAGTTGCTCCAGTTTATTTTGGTTTTTAAAGGAGGTAATCCATGCTTTAGCCCATAAAGGGTAAAGTGAAGAGGTAAATGATCTGATGAAAGATCATTTGCTACGTATACAAAAGGAGCTTGTGGTATTTGGTAGGTAATGATAATATCTAAGATATCTGGTCTTCCACGTAGATTTGTGGGAATATAAGTAGGTTCATTCGGTGCATAGATATTGATTTGGCTATTAAGGAGGTAATTATTGAGGATGATTCCGTTTGCGTTAGTGGTTGAACTGTTCCAGTTTGGATGTTTACAGTTGAAATCGCCTGACATGATGGTGGGATAGCCTAGGTTGAAGATATTATTGAGATCCGTGATATTAAGCAGGTTGTTAGGTGGTTTGTAGACAGAGACTATTAAATAATTAATGTTGTTGCTTTTTATAATGCAGCCGCAAGCTTCAATGCTTTGGAGTGGAGGAAGAGTGGCTGGGTAACAATTTAAATATTTTTTTGTTGCAATAAGAGTGCCTCCGCCTCTGTTATGCAGTCGATCAGATCGGAATACATCGTAGTTTGGGAGTTTGATATTGTCTGTTGCTTTAAGGTGAGTTTCGTTTAGAAGAAGAATATCAATGCTGTGGAGGATGAGGTAGTTTTTGATTTCGAAGAGTTGCCTTTTTAATCCATTGCAGTTAAAAGAAACAAATTTAGCATAGTTGATATGTCGATATATTGGTGAGGTGCTATTTTGAGAATTAAACATTGTGTTTTTCGAAGACCTGTAGTGCCTTTAAGGCGATATCCAATTTAGAGTTTGAGTTGCTGGAATTCCTGTATTCTAAATAAAGGGTGTGTAGAGATTTAATGAAAACACTGAACTCTTCGAAAGATTTTTCTTCATTATTGTTGATATTTTTAATAGGAGTTTCTGAAGGAGGGCTTGTCGGTTGTTTAGACCCAGAGAGTATTGCGGCGTATGATTGGCTGTTGTATATTGGCTCTCTAATATTTGATTGGTTGCTAGTATTGGTGGTTTTGATTTCAGTCATAGCACTTGGAATTATGGTTGATTCTTTGATATTTTTTAGTTTAGGATCTATTTTGTTAAGAGGGTGCTCCGGGCATTTTTTGTCGCAAGATGCATGTGAGCCTTGGCATAGTACGCATTGAGGTGTGAAGTTTTTTCCCTTATGCGGGCATTCAAAAGATTGATGTTGTTCTAAACATCTGACGCATCTTGGTGGGTTGTGGCATGCTTTTTGGGTATGCCCGTACCGTTGACACTGGAAGCATTGTGTCGGTCCGGGCCTACCTTTATAAGGAACAATTCTGACCTTCATATCCATGAGGTATTTGATATCGAACATACGTTTGCCTGAGGGATTGTTAGGAGTTTCGATGTAATACATTGGAAGCTCTGTGGGGATTCCGTCGCGCATGCGCACCATGCGTATTACTTTAATGATAGGGATTTGTAATTTCTTAATTTCTTCTTTAATCTCTTCTATTGTGTAATTGGTAGAAAATCCTTTTAGTACTCCTTTCAATGCTTTATCCGAATGTAGAAGATAGGTGTGGTAAGGTATATGCTTGGTTTCAAGGTAATTTTGTGCTGCTTTGTAATCTTCTATGCTGGTAACTTTTATAACGAAGTTTTCACCTTCGAGTTTGGCTTCGAATTTTCCAAATTTGAGGGTTTCTATAAAATCTTTTCTGATATCTTTCCAATTGATGTCCTGGGTTATGACAAGGGGTGGTATTTTGTTGGCCGTTTGTTGTGGTTGTTTGAAGGGTAATGTATTGTTTGAATCAAATCATTATTAGTATCGTTATCTTCCATATCTTGGTTATCTAAGTTTTGATCTATTGTGAGCGCGTCGAATTGATTTGAAAGTTGTGTTGGAGGGGTGTTGTCGTTAGAAAGATTTCGTGCTCTTTTTCTGGGAGCGGTCCAGGTATCATTATTGGTTTGACAAATCCTCCTACTGATGGCTTCATATAATGAAGTTTCGTGTTTGGGCAATTCGGAAAATAATTTTGCTAATTCTGTGTTTAAATCATTTAGTTTCTTTATGTTTTCATCTGATGGTTTTTCATTGTTGGCATAGGTTAATAATTTGATTTCACGTTCTAATTCTAAACTTTTAGTAATCATTTGGCTCGCCCTAATTTTTTCATCATCTTTGTCCGTTTTCTTATTCATGGTCGGTATTGAGGTTCCGGTCGGTGATTGAAGAGAAATTTTGATCAAGCGAAAGTAGTAGTCACTGCCTATTCGAGCTGGCTGTCGTATGCGAGAGCAATAAGATACATACTTACGAAAAATTCAAGAAGCAAAG